TTAAATAAATTAATTAAATTTTTTTTTATTAAAATGGAGATTTAACCATCAAATCTTTCAACTACTTTTGCCGACAAAACTTTCTTTCACCCCCGTGGATGGGGGGCTATCAATCAATCTGCTTTTTCTAAGGTTAGCATTTTCGAAGAAAACCTTTTTTTTGGCAGGGCAAATTAGCCCCTCCACTAGTAAAGTTGTTGCATATCAATCCCTCTGCGCTTTTTGGCTGCAATATACACCCTCTAACCTATGCAAACAGCCCCTTTTCTAGTGGCTGACGTAATCAAACCGTTTCCTCCGTTAAGTTTAAAATGTTAAATGTCAATTTTCATTCTTAGACTTTTAATTTTAGATAATTTTAATTTTTAAATTATTTTATATATTTTTTTTAATCCTCAATTAAAAAAAATGCATATTTTTTTTCCCTTGCATCAATTAAATCATATGTGGACCTTAACTCAATCTAAAAATGACATCTTTTTTTATGAAATGAAAATTACATTATGTAATCAACTTGTATGGACAAAAAACAATTGTTCATGGTGTAAAAAAGATAATATGACAAATTAAAATAACTCTATTTTTAATTATTTTTTATCCGACCAATCATAATAAGGGGTGATCTTATTTTTAATTAAAATCTCACTCTATAATTTTTTATGCTTTTTCATGAATGGATTTCGAATCCAAAGTTTTGCCTTTAATTTTGCTGCAGGGTAATATGTCTTTTGCAAAATTCAAACTACATATTACATATGTGAACGAGTACTGTAAAGGAATATGTACTTACTTTTTTTTTTTTTTCTTTTTTTATTGAACAATTGATCATGGGTGGGTCGAACCCAACCAGGGAGGATGCACCTTTTCACTGTTGCAGTTGCCACTGGGCCTGAACGCCAGGTGCATAAAGGAATATGTACTTTTTTTTTTTTTTTTGAACTTAGGGAAATTTGGGGGATGGGGATTAGTAAAGGAATATGTACTTGATAACTTAATGTATTGCATTTTGTATTACATACATATTGAGAAGGGTAGATATTAAGGTTCCTAAAATTGAGATTTTAACTAAAGTTGTTTTAAATAAGTAAAAATTAAATTATAAAATTAAATCGATAAAATTAAGCGTTTATCAAATTTAATAATTAAATAATAAAAATTTATATTTTTATATTAATATAACTAAAATTTTATAATAAAAAATCGAATATAAAGTTAAAATTTATAATAACCTTAATAATAAGAATTAAATTTTAATATTATAATATATAACAATATAAAAATCAAAAATAAAAAATTTTAAAAAAATTTATTATTTAAATTAATATATATATATACACGAAAAAAACGAGAGCAATGCTAGGAAGTGGGAACACTCGCCATGTGCACTCTTGACTCTCCAACCAACACTTCCATTTTCATTGGGCCACGTTCTGTTGGTTTTCGGAGAGGTCATCATTTCATGGCTAAAGTAAGCTTACGTGGTCCAATAAAAAAGCATGTGTTGGCTGGAGAGTGGAGGAAGCGAGTGCCCCTAGCACTGCTCAAAAAACAAAGATCAATCCTTGTGACGTGTCAATATATTACCCATTAAAAGGAGTACCCTTCTCCGTCCTTTCATCTTCCTTGGTTTAGCCGCCGTCATTTTCCGCTCTCTTTTACCATTTTTCTCCATTCAAGCTCGCTTGCAGATCCTTATTCACTCCTTTTTTCGCAACCGATTTTATCCTTTTTTGCTTGAGCAGTGAGCAGCAGCAACCAGCTCTTACTATGAGCAGTGGCAGCAAATAGATTTCCATCCCGCCAGCAAGTGCCTAAGCTGTGAGCAGTAGCAGCGAACAGCAACAGTAAGCAACGGCACCGTAGCAGTCCAAAATCTCTCTCTCCCCTGCGGTAAACCTAAAGTAAAGAAGATCAGAGATCAATTTTATGTTTGAATTTCTGGAAGTTTCTTCTTCAATTTTGTGAAAGTAAAATCGAGAATTCAATCAATTTTACAGAAAAATCATGATTTTACAATTTTATACTCCAATTTTATAAAAATTTGATTTTAATATAAATTTTATTCGAAATTTATACATAAAATCATAAAATCTTAAGATTTTACGATTTAAAACGCGATTTTAATAATCATCATTGATATGTTAGCCATGGCTTAATATATATGGACATGAATACCTCTTCTATTTAATTTAGTAATAAATTTAATTTAATTTTTTTTAAAATTTAAATAATTAATTTTTTTATTTTATTTAAAATTTATAATATTAAATATATTAATTAAAATTGCTTCTTCACCATTTTTATAAACTCTCTT